ATCATCATAAGATGTTTTATGAAGTTGGCAATTTACTTGGAAATCATTAACTCTCATTTTCTCACTTTTCTCACATTGCTCTCTTAATGAATTCAAATTTGGATTTAATTTCTCAACTTTTTCGTAAATGGCATGAGTTTTTCGTCTGACAAGTTCATCTAAATCTAAATAAGAATTTGAAACAGATACAGAGGAAGGATTGTAGGAAACCAAATTTGACTGGTTGAACAGTCTTTGATGTTTAACCTCTTCTAATTCATCTTCTTCTAACTTTGCTGAGTTGAGGGAAGGTGATTTAGGAATAGCATAATCTTTATCTAAAGGGGGTCCAGTAAAAAGTTTATCAGTATCAAGTACTGATGGGTGTGAATGAAAAGAGGAAATAGGGGGGGGTAAGATGCTTACTGTTCTTTCTCTTTCCCTTTTCCTTTCGATTCCGGATTGTGATCGTCTCTCTTCATCTTCCTCACAACTAGAATCATGTCGAGGAGATTGGAGGCATTCTCCGCCATCTCCTCGATGTCCTCGTCGTGAGCTCGTTTCCGACGTTGGCTTGAAGGACCTGGTCTCGGATGGTCGAATGGATTCATCGTTCGAGGGTTGATCAAGTAGGGGTTGTAACCCGCTACTTGTTCCACGGTCGATCGATGACGACGACCCCCAAGGAACTCCTCGAGTTCCTTGTGGGCTTCTTTCGCCATGCCTAAGGTCTGGCGAAAGTTGGCACTGTTGTTGGCTACACGGGCTTCGTCCAAGTTGCGTTTGAGGTCGAGGATCGCTTGTCGGAGTCGGGCTTCCTCGGCCTCGCGGGTTTGTTGGTACGACGGTTGTGGAGGAGGAGGCGGTGGCATGGGGTTCGCACTGATACCGGGCGTCGGTTGGTGTGGTCGATAGACCGGGGAAGGATGTGGCGGGACATTGAGCTGAGGTTGGTAGATCGGTGATGGAGCTGGGGGGTATTGAGCTACCGGAGCCGCTAGGTTCGGGTGATAACCTGGCTGGTAGGTGTAGCTCGCGTGATGCTGGTTCCACAGGTGTCAATTTATTTTTGTTAGTTTCTCGCTCTTGAGCAAAACTTTGGACTAATTCTGGGTCTGGCTTACCTGATGCGGGTAGTGGTTCATATAACCCCCCCATTGGTGATTTCTTTGTTGCTCGAGAGGTGGGTTCAACTGACCGTTTGCTCCTTGATGTTCCCCTTGTACCGGCTGAGCTTCTGGATGACATTTTTCAATGAAGACGAGAAAAATAAGTTTTTTTTTTTTTTTTTAAAAAAAATGAAGGTAATAATAAAAAAAACTGTTGGACTACTTACGATCTCCGTGCGCTCCGTGAACTTGGTAGTATCCCTGGTCTACTTGGACTCGATCGATATATTGATTGTTATGATGATTATATCCCTGGGCTGGATTGTTAGCTACTTTTGTTGTGATAGTGTTTAAAACAGGATAGTAGGAGAAAAAAAAAATAATAATAGAAACCAAAAAAAAAAAAAATTGTTGAGTTCGATCTTATAAATCTTTTACTCTCTTCTTTGAAAACAAGTAGAGAGTAAAAAAAAATTATATAATTTTTTATCGTGACTTACGATGATGATGGGTTCCTTGAGTCGGTTCAGCAGGGTTGTTGTGACTGTTGTTTTGATTTTGAATAGTCAAGTTCTCTGGGGGAGGTGCTTGAGATCTTTCAAAGGCTCTCTCGGTATCGTCGGATCCGGGGGAGTTTAGATCGATGACGAGAGGATCGCTAGCTGGCGTGGTGATAGTCGAATCTATCACAATGGGTTCTTGGGTGGTATTTCCGTATTTGTCTTCGAAATCTAAGATCGATCCGTCGATATTCTCGTTCTCTGGTAATGCTGGGGTTGATTGGTGAACACCAATATCTCCAGCTGGTTGTTGTTGATTACCGTTATGGTGTTGAGCTAAGTCGAGTGAGTTGAACAATTGTGGGAATGACACTAGAAAAAAAAAATTAAGATTGATAGAAAAAAAATTTTTAATTGGAACAATTTTAATATCAGTATTTGTTTTCGATAATAGTTCAAGTTATAATTTCTGAAGGATAAGTGGGAATAATAATAAAAAAACTGAAAGAGAAGAAAAAAAAAATTTTAACTACTCTTGATTTTGTAGATAACTTTGATAAAGTTAAATAATTTCTGAAATTTTATCGAATTATTTAAGTTAATATAACTACTGTAGCAGTTCGATTCGTTCTTGAATGATCTGCTTGAGGAATGATTGACTTCGAATCGAGTTCTCTTTTTATAGTCGATTCGTCGATTCAATTTGTTTCCGATACGGATTCGTTCTCTAATCACTGTGTAGAATGGCGTAAGTCAGCTTTTTAGTGAGTTCTACGAGTTTTCTTATTGATTGTTTGCTGACTTACTCTTAAAAAAAAATGTGTTATTTGTTGTTAGGATTTGATCGTCCGATGGTGTTCTTTGTGGTGGTGCGTTGGTTATTTTTCAACTTTGATTTGTTCGAAGCCTCGTTCGTTTGACTTGACTCGTCCTCTAATAACGACGAAAGAAGAAGAAGAAAACTAATAAAGAAAATACGATGGAAAGTAACTGAGACTTTTGTAAGTATAGTAATGAAGTTGAAAGGTTACAGGGTTTCACTCGAACGATCCGTCGGAAAAGAGGAAAAAGGAATCCTGAGTAATCCAAAGGAAGAGAGAAAAAAAATCTGTTGAATCCTTTTGTTTAATAATGGTTCGATGGAATGGAAAGGATTGGAATTATTAGATTTGTAGTTAATAAGATAGATTACTCTGGTGTTCAATGACTCACTTCGTTTTGGATTATTAATTCCGATCGCGGGAAAAAAATTGATTTTCTAAATTCGCTCCGAATTCCCCGTTGATTCTCTTTCCGCGTCTTATTTCCTTCTCGATCGTCCACTTCTCAGATTCTGAGTTCTAGTTCTAATCTATTTCCTCTCAAAAAGAGAAAAAAAACTGTATGAACTCTCTTTTGTTTAGATTTTTTAACTTTTTGTGATGTAATCACGCAGGATTGTTGAATTTATGTTGTTCTTTGTATTAATCTTTGATTAGAACTAAAGCAATCTTTCGAGTTATCAAGTAACTAAAAAAAAATTCTGTTGGCCGTTATGAATTTAAATTGTTTGAAGTTTGATAAAATTTCAAACAAAAATGTGTTATATTGAGGTTGTCTAGTATGATAATTCTCACTTCTCTTGGTTAAGAGGTTGAGGTTAAAAAATATGGGTTTCAACACGATGAGGCCCCCAAATGTGAGGGTTGGGTGCTCTCTTGAGTACTCAAAGCTCACTAAATGGGCTAGTAGGGTCTTATGATTTATGTAAATAATATTATATTGCAATTATAAAGTATTTACAAAGAGTGTAGACTATAAATAAAGAGAGAAGGGGAAGGGTAAAGATGAGACACTATTTGTAGAATTGAAGGATGGATCCTAGTCCTTCCTTTAATCTTCAGGTTGACAGATTAAAGAGTGATTAAGGTTCACTAGACCAGTTGTTTTATGGTCACTAACCCTGGGTTGTTCTTATGGTCACCAACCTTGGGTTATTCTATGGTCACCAACCTGGGTTGTTCTATGGTCACCAACCTTGGGTTATTATATGGTCACCAACCTATGAGTGTTCTACTTGGGGAAAGTAGAGGATCCTGAGAAGGGTGAAGGGTATTACTTACTTTTAATCAGGGAACAGATTAAAGTAGTGAAGTTATCACTAGTCTTATATTTATAAGACTCTTGATAATTACTTCAATAGAACCTTTAATTGTTCTTAAAAGTATTGTGTAATAAAAGCTTAGTGGGAAATCTCTGAAGGCTGAGAGAGGAGGAGTTTATATACTCTTCTCTCCAAACCTAACTGTGGTGATATTTGTTAATATCACTACTGTGGTTTAGGGCTTAAATGGTAATATTAATTATGGTTATGATTAATGCTACATAATTACATATACATGTTATGTAATTATGTAGTATAAGCATTTTAACTCTTGACACTGAGTTATGAGGTGTAATTAATGTTTTATTACATATTACATATGATTTTACATGTACGTGTATATGTAGTTAGTGTTTATATGTGTTTTATTACATGTTACATGTGTTTTATAAGCTGTATGTACATGTAATAAGTTTTGTAAGTTACAATCTATCTATTACAAGTTAGTTTTGGGTACATGTATATGTACTCAGGGCTGACATGGATGGAGTATAGGTCGGTATGAGGAGTTGAGGTTGGGTGGGAAAGTGTGTATCTTGGGGCTGGGGTTCATGACGCCTGTATGCGAAGATCACAGTAGTTGCTCTGGCATGTTTTTCCGAAGTTTGGCGAGATTTGGCGGTCCGGTTTCACCAAACTTCGCAGAGGGCACGGACCAGCAGGTCATTTTGGTTTTGAGATTTTTTCATGCTTTATGCATGCTACTGTACTTAGTAGAATTTGTATCTCACTAGAGATGTATCTTCACATCTCAAGAAATCTCAAAGGACTTTTCGGACTCCTTTGGTTGGTACCGATTCCTTTATCTTCGGATACATTGGGTTCCTTCAAGTACGTACAGGTGCTCTTCTGAAAGTCTAAATTGAGCAGTCCTGGTAGTAGTACATGATGATTGAGCTTCACCTTCCATGAAAATTCAAGAGAATACTCAAAGCAGTCCAAGCAGTAAGACTTTCTAGAAACCTCATGTCCCAAGATTCCTAATATTTTTCTGAACTCTCTCAACGCTAGTTTTTGCAAAAAAGAAGAAAAAAAACACACACACCAAATTCTGATCCTAAATAACAAAAAGGCTATGAACACAAGATCAAAAAAAAAAACTTGGGTTTGGGTCAAGACTGAGCACTAGAAAATCATTTAGAGCATGCAAACTTTTTTTTACTTATTATAATATCTTGCACAAATAAAAAAGAAGTGAGAAACACATAAAAAAACACAAATAAGAAATTATATAATTAAGTATAATAGAATGGGTAACAACACACAAGCTCAACGTGCATGACAGGTTTCCACCACTGATCTTACCCTGCTCAGCATTCTCTGTTGATGTTGATGAGGATGAAGGTGATGAGATGGTAAGGATGTTGAACCCCGCGGTTGGTTTGCAAACTGGTGAAGCGCAGGATAAGCAGTTGATGAAGGTGTAGAATTCGGATCATGCCAAATTACACTCGGCATCCCTGCGTTCGAGAAGTTACTGTACACTGGCACAGGTATTTCAAAATGTGTTGGCGAGGGTCGAAGAGTACTTGATCCGATAGGATGAGCAGAGGAGGGGAAAGGTTGGTCAGGAGAGGATGAGTGGACAGGACTCGATTGGCTTATTAGGGGATAATGAGGTTGTTGTTGACGATGATATATCGGGGGAAGGACGACTGATAGAGTTTCAGCTTTGGGCTTGTGGCCTTGGTGATTTGTTGGATAGATGTCATTCAAAGCCGGCGGAGACCATCTACTGGCGCCAAGGGGATGATGATGCGCTGGTGATGATTGTTGGGAGACACATCCTCTGCCATTAGGTACCATCAATCTGATACCAACTGAACCAGGATTATGATGACTAGTGGGGAGCGGTCTCGTGTCCATGGGTGTTCCCTGACGCCAAGGCTGTGATCCGAAAACATATACTTGTTGGGCAGAATCCGGCAAACATGCTCGTACATCTTGACGAACCAGCTGACCGGGACCACGGTGCCCAGCGGTAAGGGAATGGAAATATAGCTCAGTGCCCTGATGGGCGGAGCCAGGCTGGAGAGGTACAATCGCGTTCCCAAGATAATTAAGAGCTGGGTAGCTGGACTCTTGAGACGTGAGTTGAATGTATTGAGGAGGTTGTACCTGGCTTGAGGAAGGTGTGGGCGGTGAGCTACTGGCTGTCAATGAGATAGGCGGTAGGCGGTGATGAAGGGAGAGGTTTGACAGCTTTCGTGATGTTGTTGTGGATGATGAAGCGGATGAGGGCGGGTGGGGGAAAAAGGTGGGAGTGGAAACCGGGGCAACTACTCGCTTTCGTGACTGTCGCCTAGTCGCATCCTGGCTGTCGACTGTCTCTGAGAAATGGCGCTTGTCGCCAGCTACGACTGTTGGCGTAGGAGTTGAGTGGTAAGGCTGATAGGAAGACACAGCGCGCCCTTTTTGTCGACTATCTGCGAGTTCGCGCTGGCCATTGTCTCGAAGGGGAGTGAAGTTAGGCAATGGGACCATAGGTCGTGAGTAGGCCGAAGGCACCAATGGACTTGGACCCCATGAGGGGGGAGGGTAATGGGTCTGATTCGAGGGGCCACTTGACGGACTGATATTCGACTGTTTGAGTGAATGCATCGAGCGTGTTGAAGGGATTTGTGAACCATTCCGCGCCGAACGACGCAAATTGTACGGATGCGTCCGTTGAGCGACAGGAGTGTCAGCAGAAGGGCGCGATGGAAGAGATGATTGTCGGGCAGTAGACTGGGCTGGAGGGCAGGATGGTGTGGGAGGAGCTATCCCAAGTTTCGCTTTTGTCGCCTTATCTTCTTCCTCTTTCATTAGGCTTGAATTTCTGATGGGCGAGACTAAGCCTTCCAAGACATTTAATCCTTCACCGGAGACAACTCGCATCTTCTTGAACCATCTTGTACGTGGGCCGGAAGCAAGAGCGTTGGCCGTGTGTCGATCTTTGAGGTGAACCATACCGTGAAGTAACCGGAACCAGGCACTGAAATCCCGAATGTTGACATGAAGTTCAAAGTTTAAACCTTGTAGGAACTCGATTTCTCCATCATTCAGTGACGCCAATGGCAAGCGAGAAACATCAGACCAGGTCTTGGCAGTGTACCTAATCAGGGGAAAAGAGTCAATTTACAGAACGAGCTAAGAGTGATGGAAGAAAAATGGTACGACTCACGTGTGATCGTCCAACATCTTATTTGCCAACATCAAGCTGACTACACCAATCCGATATTCACTCTTTGGATTAGGCTTGATGGGATTCAAACACTTGAGGCGATGGATGTAAAACAGGGCAAGTAAGACAACCGAGTGTGATAGCTGTGCTGCAAATTGGGCAAAAAGAATGCCACCATTGAGAACTTTGTACTTATATCTCTCAGCATGATATATTATGAAACTCACTGGTATTCAGCACGTTATGGATGAACACAACAAATTCAGGATTGGGCACAAGTTGCGCCGTGCTGATTGGTGCCGATTGAGATTGAGAGTTAGGAAAGAGCTGAGGACTTGTGCTGCTCGGAGTCGTCTGTCGCAAAGTCGAACTTCTTTCGAGGCTCGAAGGCTCCGCAAACCAAAGATAACAAATCATTTGGGCAGCGAATTCGGCGACCTTATTTGTTGGCGGAGGTGGGACCAGGACAGGTTCGGTGACCGGAGAAGGTGGGCGAGCGAGACAGCAATCCGAGAGCGTTTGAGAGAATACCGCTCTAGGCTGAGGAGTCCTACTATAGACAGGAGACGTAACGAGAGGTGGTGCTGATGGAGGCGCGTGAAAGCAATGCGATGATTGTGCACTGCTGGGGCCAGCTTGAGGTTGATAGGGCGGTGAGGTGGGTGGGCGGCGAGACGAGAGAGGATCCATCGGAAGCGAGAGTGGTGTGTGGAGATGAGGGACAGAGTGGGACGAAGATGTAGTTAAAGCACTGTTGCACTCGACGGTAGGCTGATGGCTCAAGGAGATGGAAGAACTCGATGATGACGACGAAGAGGATGTAGACTGATTGGATGGCAACGTTGGGATATTGGCTAAAGGTAATATTTCAATTTATGTGATCACGATGATGAATCGAGGGAGAGGGAAAGAGGAAAAAGAGAGAAAAACGATCAACAAACCATAATGAGAAGGGCCGGTATGTAAGATATGTTCAAGCACGTCAAAAAGCGAAAGCATGTCAACGCAACCTCGCCTGTGTCCCTTTTTGGGTAGAGAAGAATGACGCGGCTTTTTCCGACTTCAGCTTTGACCGAAATGAGGTCGATTCAAGGACTCTGAACTGTTTGACGAGGAGAGACGATGATCAAGAGGCACACTGGATGGGTGGGCAGGTTTTGGGGAGATATATCGGAGCGAATTCGCGAATGGATCTTTCACTGAGCGGAAGGTCACACCGGTCGCTTGGTGTGGTCGCTTGGAAAAGGCTTCAGCCACAGTGAGATCCAAGACTTGGGCGGGTGAGCTGCTAACCAAGAGATCCTGAGAGAGTATACGTAATATGGATGCCGAGCAGCAAGTGTGAGAGGAAGGGATGAGTTGATGTCCCTTGTGAGATGAAGGGAGCGGGGCAAAGATTATATGGGGGTAGGTGGCTAGGTAGATGGGATGGAAAATACGTATAGTCTCTACCACTCACGAGTCACCACTACCTTTACGTCCTCGTACACGTCGATGACTGAATGGTTTAAGTTAAGCCCCACGAAGGATCGCACGGCCTGATGAAGGGACGAATGAGGAGTGAGTACAGTAAGGGATGGGGTAGCCTTGTGGTAACTCGAAGGAATAATCAAAGAGCCAGGGCAAGAAGGGAGTGGAAAAGTAGATAGAATGAGGATTGGTCGACGTTTCAGGATGTTCAGGCTGATGGTCGTGAGTTCCGATTGGTAGTGTCGGACTGACGCTCAACGCCTGCACGGGCCTGATCAGACCAGAAGAGAAGGGTGGCGAGATTGAAAGAGGAACAGAACGCAGGAGCGGCAAGCAATCAGCCAAGAGCCGCATGGATACAGCTAAAACATTTGGACTAGAACTTGATGAATTGTTGTGGTGGTAGTGACAGGGTGATTTTCCAATATACAGTTGGTTGGTAGGTATGATATGTAGTAGGTGATAAAACATTGCTTACGTGAATGCAAAGACAGGGGAGGAATCTTTGGGGAGTGGCCAGGCTGTGGTGCTGGAGATGACGGTAGGGGAAGCTGGACGCATTAGCTTTGAGACCGCAAAGGCAACTTTTCTAACATCCAAAAAGGTCTGATTGAAACAAGCCAATGGGTAGAGTACGTGTGTAAAGTGGGCAAATTGTAATTTTCAACGTTCAAAATGATGATGGAGCGGTATGATGAAGCGGATATGTTGCGGATGCACACAAGATCCAGCCCAATCAGAATAACCAAGAGCAAGTTAAAAAAGCGGTATTTTGGTTTGTAAAAAACCGATTGGGGAGAAGAGGGGAAAGCCAGATGAAGGTCAATTCACATTTGATCAGCCAAAGCGGAACCGATAAAGGATGATCGAAGGGTAGAATCTAAAGAAAGGACGAACAGCAGCTTCCACTAGATCGACGCATGGGCCCAATCGTGAGGGAGTTGGTTAAGAGTGGCGAGAAGAGCCGAGAGGGGCAAGGGGAGAAAGATATGATGATCAATGCTGCGTCCAAGCGGGCAAAGAGCGAAAGTGTGATTTGGGATCGTCGACTGAGAGGAGGATTGGAGAGCTGAGTGTTGAAAGTTCAAGTAGCAATTGCAGCCAAGCGATGTTAGAGCCCAAGCACAGAGAGTGTGTGTATCTTTCTACAAAAGTCATAGCAGCAGTTTATCATGATCAATCATAGAGTGTAGTTTCGGAAATAAACAGTTTCAAACATAGTGTAAAGCGCATAAAGCTACCTGGGGTTTGATTCTGAGCCAGGATTGGACTGAGTTGACGATATGTATGGTTTAGATTGGACGGATGAATGAATAATAAGAAGGAAAGATGATGATGATAATGATGATGTATGATGATTGATGATAATGATGATGTATGATGATTGATGACGATGATATAACTGAAACAATAAGAGTGAGTGTGAATAATTTGTGAAACTGAGACTTGGTTCAATCAAAGAAGGATGAGCAGGTCAAAAAAGCTGATGATGAAGCTGGCTAAGAAGCTCATCAAGCGAGTAAGATCAATGAAACTCGGTATTCGAAGCGGATTATATTAGAAAGTCACACTTCTCACTTCCAATGATCAACAGCTTGGACTGTGATAAACCAAGATCAGGCTTAGTGCGAGGTTGCAAGCATCGTAACTACGCAAAGGATTACGTTATAGATGGAGATATCTTTGATGTTGGGTTCAAGATCAACAGATTCAATTGAACAGGGTTCTTGCAGTTTTGAGTGATAAAGAAAGAGAAATGTAGGTCAATTCAATTCAAATCATCATGAGACAAGAACTAGTTTGACTTGGATTTAAGATTCTGGTTGATTTGGTTTTCGTTTGAATCTCCCCTTTCCAAATCTCTCTTTCGGTCAAGGGGATATGTATGTGAATGTGTACTTAAATACTTCTTCAAAAGAGGTCTAAAAAGTTTGAAAATGATTACTTATCAATGTGGCTCAGTCACAAGTTGTCTGAATCAATATCAATGGACTCCTTTACAATTGGTTTGATATGTATGATCAATCGTGTGAGAAGACAGGAAGCTGTTGATCGGATAAATCAATCTATGTACAAAAGATAAGTACTATGTGTAATCTTTAGAATGATCACACTTTCACTAAACAGAGGAACAACAAATATTTATCTTGTATAAAATCTTGATGTAATCTGTAGTGCCGTTAATCTAGATTGGTGCTCAGTTCACAGCTGGAAAGCGGGATCACTTGTTAATACAAAACCATTGATAATCTGATTGAAGCCAATCAAGGCTTCATATAGGAATGTCGTGACTCGTGAGCATTTTATCTTGCGAATGTGTACAAAGAAGGACAGACCTACACCATTTTGACTTTCAATCATCTCTCATGATTGGTCAACTTCACGCCATCCATCACATTTCCTTCAACACTTTATCGTTACTTTTGATTGAACTGATTGGAGTGGGTAAAAGGCAATTCGATACAACACAACTGAACTGAAAAAATCACAAACGGTAGAAATAGTACGTAGACTCGCCCACACCTGGCGATACAGGCAATTGCCTAAAACCTCGGCCGGTTGCCGTCCATTCATATTCGAGAAGAGCATCTTGATTCTTACGTTTAGTTTTGAATTTGATTTCGTTCATCTGATAATTGTTTTTTCTTTATCGCGAGATCCGAGTAGATCCGGTGGGAATCTCTTGGTCGGTCTTGGTGGTCAATGGGCGTAAGTATGACATGAAATCTTATGTTCTATAGAAGACGTTTGATATGTTGATGCAGCATCACGATTCACGACACCGCACAAGTCAATGGGTGTATCGGGAAACCAAGGAAGGAGTAGACAGATCACAGGCTATCGCAGGCAAATATGTATGCAACACGATCTAAAAATGTAGGAGTTAAACACCTTTAAACACCAGCTGAATTCAATTGAGTCCAGTGTTTTGTGAGCTCCTTGAAGCTTCAAGCACAGCTCATGATGTGTCATGAAGACTGCCATCACACAATTATGTATCAAGTGGTCTCCGGCCAGATTCTTCATCGCATTTTTTTATCAGCTGACCATGATCAGGTTTGTTTTGGAAATCATTTGAAGACTGTGATATGTACCAGTCCCCGAAATCGTCATACCTTGACTTCCTGATGATTTCAAGGATTCAAACGAAATTCCCACGGATAACCTTTCGTACACACAGCACATTTGGACATCTGAGGCTCGTCGAAGATAGAGTCTGACGCTTTCATCCGTAGGGTCTTCGTTGAGTCTAGGAAGATTGCCATTTCCGTTGATCAAAGATTTGACTGAATCAAAGGGGCAGTGCATCTCGTTGTCTGCTGCGTTAGGTGCTTCAATACAGTCTTTGCAGTTGTCTCTCGCAGAATCGGTAAAAGGAAAGTTGACTTGAAAAGACTTGAAAGCTTAGCCTGTAGGCTGTGCCCCCTCAAGCCCTTCGGAAGTCATGACGTCAGATTGCAGCTGGAGTTGAAAATGTTGGGTGCAGTGCGTAGCTTTTGTGAGAGGTGTCAGGATGGGGGCGCAGCCTTAAAACAAAAGGCGCGCCCTGGCGCGTTTTGTGAAAAACGGGGGCGGCCTTTCAACGCGCAAAAATGAAAAACCGTAAAAAAAATGCGAAAAGAATCCAGGAAATGCATTTTGACCAACCTTAAATACATATTTGTTGCTGATAAGGTAGAAGATGGATTGTTTGAAGGTCAATTGTTAATTGAACTTGATTCATAAAACAACTTGAAATGGATTTTATAAGAAAATAAACACGTGGAAAGCCCCACTTTCTCACTATGAGGCATACAGGCCTTTGGGCACGCCTACCTTGTTTCCAAGATGTTTAGGCACACCCTGCGCCCAGGCTTTTTTTTGGGCCCCCATCCTGAGAGAGGTGAGAGGCTGTGGGTTGAGCCCTTATCACTACACAAAATGTCATCTTTACCGGGCGGTAAAGAAAACTACTGACATAGAAAAGTCCTGAGGCAACAGGAATTGAGTGTACTTGGCTTGGAGTGGCTGATGGCAGAGTCTAAAGGGTACTCTATAAAATAGGGGGTTTTGAGTTTGGTTTGTTGGCGTAATTTTCATAAATTTGGGCAAGTTGTTTGTATAAAAAAATCTTGGTAAAACCAACATATTTTTAATTTGGGACACCTTTTTTTCGTAAAACCAACACATTTTTGGTTCAGGACAAAACTTGCCTGAATTTCTAAAAAATATGCGAAAAACAAACAAGTTTGAAATCCCATATTACAAGGAACCACAGGAGGCTCTTTTGTCAAAAATTGGCCTGACGCTGTCTGAGAATGGTCAGGTCAAAAATCGGCCTCATGACCAACTCACAGGCCATCTAGATGTGGGCTGCAATTGGGCAATCCACAGGATTTTTTCTGTAAGGAAATTTGTTAACAGCACAGGACATTATGAAACAAAATTATGATAAGAAAGTACAACCTACACCAGATTGTAATATCAGAGACAAGGTATGGCTCAGCAGTTGCCACATATTATCGACACAACCATCAGCAAAATTAGACCACCAATGGCTGGGCCCTTTCAGTATCAAAAAGAAGATATCAATGTTGGACTATAAATTGAGATTACCAATGAGTATGTGTAAAGTACATCCCGTATTTCATGTATCATTATTAAAGAAACACTTACCAGATATGATTGAGGAGAGACAACAGGCACTGCCTTATCCTGTAGAAATTGACGGCAAGGAAGAATAGGAAATTGAAGCTGTCCTGGATAAATGTATTAGGAATAAGAAGAGTGAATACTTGATTAGTTGGAAGGGGTATGGAAGATTGGACAATTCATGGGAGCTAGAAGTGAACATAGTAAACTCTAAACTATTGATCAACAAGTTTAATTCATAATATCCAAAGGGAACATAAGAACATAGAAGAGCAAGGTTTTTTCCCACCGGATTTTTTGATGCCAGCCCCAGGGAAGGACACAGGGCCCAGACGGCAAGCCTGCGCGTAAAAGGGGATGGTGTTATTATCCCATCATGGATCCTAGAGGTTTCACGGCTTGTGACATGTGCCACCCTCAACCTCTTACTAGAATTGGCCTCACTTGTATTACACTTTTCCTCATGCTACAATAAACATACATTGTAGTCACCATCATCTCCTTCCCTCTGTCCCCATGCCAGGCCCCCAGAGCAGGCCATGACAGGAGATCAAAGCAGAGAACAAGTGACTGAGTAATCGCAGTACAAAACAAGTATAGGAATGAGTTACGGATTGAGGTGAGATGCAACCTCATCTATAAATTGCTTTTCAAAGGTGATTGGATGTATTGCTGCCTATCTCAGATTCTGTCAGGGCGGCTATAAACTATTAGTGGGATAGTCTAGTTTCCTCACTAATGTATAATACCTGACAAGTTATCCCGCTGGGTACGTGGGATAAGTAGTAGCAGTTACCTAACAATATCAATTAGGTAAGGAAGGTAATCAGTTTCTAGCTGGTCCCAAAGTACTTCTATCAAGAAATCCACAGGCCTACTGTTCGTCTAACAGCAGAGGGGTAGTCAACCCTAGACATGAGTTTATTCTCTTCTAGCTCGAAAGCTTTTGGAGTAGCCTGATACCAAAGGTAAACAGGGATCTCTACAACTTTGCGTTGAGAGAACGGTGGTATTGACTAAGTAGAAGACCACTTGATAAAGGATCCAAGTAAGCAGTAATAAATTCTATTCAAATGTTAATAGTTGATACTGACGCCGATTGTTGGTCTTATAGTTTTAACGGATAGGATGGAATACGCCTATAGGGTTAATACGAATATCAGAGAGAATCAATAAGAACTAGATATCAAGAGTATTACTTCGATAAGAAAGTGAGTAGAGGATTTTATGTTTATTTCTCTAGGCTTTAAAATAACGGTTAAGAATCTAGTCGATCTTCGGTCTGGGAGATGGAACAGAATAGACAGTTCAAGAGTTAAAGGCAAATCTTAAGGGATAAGTATTAATCTTATAATGCAATATTCAGCTGGATCTTGTAGAAGGAAGAACTGACTGGTTCTTTACTTGTTAGTTTAAAGGGGGTGAAATGCACCTGTATGTACCTAAAAGCACCGAACATATAGGTAGATACAGACCCCCTGTATCTTCGCATGTAGTCCGTATTCCTCCCTTTAGAAATGGCTAGTTACGTAGTCATCTCTAAGGTAACCTCAGAATATCACTAAGTCCTCATTCTATAAGGGGGGACCCTTGGTCCCTCTCTACACAGAAAAGGAAATCTCACCACCTCTAGCAATCTATCACCACCCTTATTTCAAAACTCACCAGCGCATCCCATTCCTCACCACCTCATCAAATTTTCACTATCTCAGTTCTATTATATCACAACCTTAAGGTACTCTTACCACCTCAGCCTCCAATATCACCATCTATACTCAGACTTCTTACCACCCAATCCGAACTTTCACCACCTCAAAGCGTAACCCACCCCCGTTACCCTAACATAGAATTTTGGCACCAATACTATTTCACTTTTACCACCTCATCACCAAATCTAACCATCTTGACCCAAAGTTGCTACTACCCGCCTCGGAATTTCACCACCTCACACCCAAGCCAAAGAAAACCTACTCCCTCTCACAAAAATTTGATCGCATCATTCAACTTGACAAAACCATCACCACACCCTTCCAAGCTAAAGCAACCTCAACCACTTCCTCTCATTCACATACTTATCACGCGACCTGGTCTTCGTGGTCACCCAACTGGGTCCGCCGATTCACCTCCACCATCTCTTGATTCACCTCCACGAGTTCGGTCCGAATCTACATACAGCAGCTCAGAACAACCTGAACACAATCAACCTCAGCCCTGACGCCAAGGACAAACAACCAGAGCCACACGAGGCGGTCATACTGGATCTCGTGGTGGAGGACGCAAGCGACAGAGAACAGATCACGAACGCCAAGCAGAAGACAACCACCTACCCGAACCAGATGACAACATACTTGACGAGTCGGATGACACATTAGTGGACGAACTAGGCAATCCAGTCACTCGTCCAACCTTGCACAACTACCGCGATCTAGGGTTCCAGTGGGTAATCTCACGTGCCGAGCATATACTTAATAACCTCCCACTACGTAAAAACAACAGAATTTCTCCGGCAGGACTCTTTGAAGCTCAAGGATTGCAAAGGTTGTATCAGTTGCATAAGACAATGCTCTGCATTGTGCTGAAATGCAGCCGTCACGTACTCGACGAGGCGTTGTAAGTACCTTGACTATATCCAAATCGATCATCCTTTTCTTTTTGCATGCTGATGTTTTTTCGATTCAATTCTACCAATACTAGATTGGAAGGGCCGCTCGCACGTGAACCCAACATGTACACGAACTATCAAACCTACAGTGTCGTGGCCACCCAAACAAAGAGTAAGCTATAGTAACTCCACCATTCATGAAACTCGTCCTGATTTCATTTTATTTTATGTGTAGTGCCCCCAAAGGGGATCTCCGAGGGGTTTAATGAGCGGAATGTTATTGTTGGGAATGCCTGGACCTCGTACACAGAAGAAGAACAATAGGTATTCAGCCCCAAATTATTCGAACGATTGTGTGTAGCGACTAGTGAAGCCTACGCCCTCACCCAAACGCCCCGTGGGATTCCCAGCATAGCCAATTCAGACGACACCAATCCAGACACGACCACACCCTCAGCTGAACACATAACCAAAAAATCCGACCTTCAACCACTCAGCGAGGAAGAAATGGTCCAATATGTCCCTATCTTTAAGCGGCTTGTCAATTTGGGCAAAGTCTCTAGAGATTTGCATGAAGGTTGCCTATGGAGGCATAGCGGTAAGTCTCGCAGCCAGAGTCGCGAGCAGCTGATGAAGCTTGAGATCAATCGGGTTGCTCGCCAGGTAAGTCATACCAATATATGAAAGCTACTAACAACATCGCCAAATACTAACATAATTTCTATGTTCTTTCCAATTCCTAACAGCTTCACATTCTCACAAAGCAACTTAACCTTCAATTTCACCTATTGCTTGCCTGCTGGAACCCTTCCTCTCCAACTGCCAATGCCCTATTCCAGGACGAGCACACATTGTGTGAACGCTGGGCTCGCCTAGAGAAGAAGACTCATCTTCTTGAGCGCTTCACTTACGAGTCAACTAAGATCCCTGTACACCAACGTCCCAAACCAGACAAGCCCAAACCAATGTCAGAAGCAGGACTCCGTCAAGCAATGAAACGGACTGAGCTCACAAAAGCTCTCAACAATTTGATCAGTTGAGTTGTTCTCTTTGGCACCGGTTGTACAGTACTTTGTACATTGTGACACATAGCTGTAGCTAATCATGCATTGTATATGTTGTCATTGTAGCCCCATTTCTCCGCGGCGGTCAGCAAGGGTTGGGAGATGCCCATCCTAAAGTCGGCAACGTGAAAGATGCGTTTCAAAAGAAAATATACCGCGGCAATGTCCAGCTCACGTTCCATCGCACCCCTGATAGCCTCGTCAACGATGTCATGATTAGCAAAGGACCTAGCAGGTTATCTAACGATGAAGTCCAGCTTTGGCTTGACGACATCGACTCAACGCGATACACAATCATCCAGGTGAGAAAGTCAAATTCAGACTCCACAGAACAGCCACCAATACATGAACCCCTTGACACAACTGATGAACAACCAATTCAAGAAGAAACCGATCACACTTCCACATCACTCGAACTCACCCTTTAGCTTTTTTAATGTTACACATTCAAGTGCTCTATTTTATGTTTTCATCTCATTAAACTTATATGTTTTCAATCAAAAAAAATTAATGTTAAACAATCAAGTGCTTCAATCTTTGTTTCCATTTCATTAAACTTGAATGTTACCAATTGATTTAATTTTATGTTTTCATCTCATTAAACTTATATGTTTTCAATCAAAAAAAAAATTAATGTTAAACAATCAAGTGCTTCAATCTTTGTTTCCATTCCATTAAACTCAAATGTTACCAATTGATTTATGTGAAGTCTTGCTCAACTGTGTTGTGTCATTGGGTGGTCAAGAATCGCATGATAATAAAATCCCACTATGCTTGACCAAATGGAAGGCTGACAAGCTGGTGAGAGAAGTTTTTGTCTTGTGCATAGACGTAACTTTGTCGGTTACATGCAGTGGCTGATCTTGTCATTGGGCGAGCAATGTGACTATGTACTTACAAACTTAATAAGTCCCCGCTAAGTTTGACCAATCCCACCCACAACCGCACGTGATTTGCATTGTATGCCTTTCACTGCCAGCATTAAAGAGGTTCCCAGGTGGGAAAGTGACCTAGGCTGGGAACATGATTGAGAGTAAAATGGTCATGAAATCATCTTGCACTGCACAACTAAGCCTTGAAGCATATGCTACATATGTGCAAACATCTGGGTAAATCCTTAGCTATCAGCTACATACACATCAGCTCAGTTATCTGTTCATCTGGATAGGAAAATTACATGTAATACATGTTGTAATTTTGCTCAGATTGTGACAAGCATTTTGAAAAATTGACTACATATATCACAATGACTACTCAGGCAATATTTCTTAGGCTGTGTAACAGTAACAGAAGGGGAATCTGGTCCCTGGGACCCAGATTCCCATCCAGGAACCTCTTTAATGCTGGCAGTGTTTACTGTATGCATTATGCCGCAGCCTATAATTTAGGCATATGCCTTTAGTGTATAATGTAGTGACATGCCTCTCGCGACACTCCTGTAGTGACACTAGTGTATACATGTAAGCGCTTACTTGTATGTAGGTATTTAATCACTAAGGCAATACATACATACATAGCACTTTTATATTTCCCGTCAAGGCCCGGGTTTGCACGTGAGCCCCGACTGGTTGAACTCCTGCCGGTCAGCCGCCGCGAAAAAGTTTTCACCTGTTTTCTCACATCGTTCATGATTCACCTACCACCCCACAATCGAATCTCATCACTCACCGATTCACCCACCCACAATTGATATTGATAGACACCCGTTCAATTTGGAAGTGAAATGTATGTCATTTTTCCTTTTGTCTTTCTGGCCCTACATATGGCAATTATAGCAATTAATCAAAAACATCGACCATTTTTGACCGACAGTACTTCTTTCTTGCCTTGCTGGATGCGCTCGCCGATTCAACGTCATCTGACCCAGTGAATTCATTTGGAATACTCTATCACCCACTGTTCCACCCACCACCAATTAATTCCCGATTCACCCACCGATTATACACTGCACCATCTTATCTACAATCCTCTCATTTCACTGTCTCAATCGCCAAACCATAAGGTACGCTGGAAATTCTAACGACACTTAAAGCGGTGTCATTTGACAAGTTCATTCTCCTAATTTGAAGCTGGTTGCTGATAGGATGGGGCCCGAATGTCTTGGAGATAACTGGTTTTGGATTCCTAATGTGGGACAATACAAAACTGTAGTCTTCAATTTGTTCTGTCCCCATTCTATGGGCACAGCCAAGAAGCAGGACCATGACGTTTTTGATTGCTCATTTCATTTCATTCCACTTACTCTCCGTCGACACTTAAACTGACATTGATTTGTTAACCTTTCCAGACCATGGCCACAACCAAGAGGAAGCGCTCCACCAGCAGTCAAAACTACAACAAAAAAAAGAGAAAAGAAAGAAACCGATACCAACCCAACTATTACCCAACCAACCATGCCAAGAGAAACAAAGAGCATGACACAAAATATGCAGAACTCCAAAAACTTATCTCTGAAACGTTCGGCGTCCCTATAGATTGCAGACTTTACTTCTTGAAAAAATACGACATCAATAACTTGCCGGACATCCCTAGAATTCAGATTAAGTTCGGCAATTCTGTCATTCTTGATGCCGACACCTGGAAGGTGATTCAAGTCAACCGGTTCATTCCTTTCGCTGATATGACTCCTGATAAGTTGGCAGAAATCAAGTTCACCATATCGAACATTTATAATCACACTCTGGCTCGATCTGAGGTGCTGGTTTGTGGTTCAGTCCAGGGGATTGAAGACTGGGGTGAAATGCGATCGGCAGGATACCGCCCGGGTTCTGACAAAGGAAGAAAATTTGGTACTGTTCCTTTGATTTCCTGACACCGTATCTATGATCCTAATGCATCTCTTTTGCAACTCTTTATTCAAGGTGTCACTGCTTTTTCGGCCAAAACAGGTTGTAATGAAGATACGATTCGTGAGGACGAGGCCCGCATGCTAGAAATGGCTGCTATCAATGAAATTCTAGCCGAGTCCATGGCATCCTTATGCCTCCATGCGTATCAGTCAAACCGCCAACTGGCCATCAAATATTCAGTACCATCTTTTGCCGATCCAACCTGGGCTGAGTCCCCCAATGCGAACGTGGTAGGTTCCAGCATAGTATGCACGCGCAATGGCTTCCACAATAACCCTCATCGTGATCGCGACATCAGCCCTTATGCTTACGGCCTCTTTGCGCGTATCAACCGCCTTACTGGAGAAATTCACTGGGTGGATCAATCTGATTATCTAGGCGACATAGAGGGTTGCGCTTTCATTCTCAACGAGTATCACGTCGAAATATCATTGGACTCATGTGACGGGGTAGTGGAGACGATCTGGGCATCTGGGGAACTACATCATACCTCTGAATCTATAACTTACGATGAGGGATGGGCCCCAATACATCCTAGAGACTCCCCAATTACCCGTTTCGGATGTTCTTTGCAAATCAACAAGGCTCTCGTTTCCAGGATTTAAGCTGAGCTGATCATGATCCAAGTAGAAGTGAGGTTGATTTGTGACTAACCAATCATATGTAGGATTGTGGCGACGTGATTCCCATCCCTGAACAAAGATGCAACGCAACACAGTGTCACTTCAGGCTTTATAATGGGAACCCAGTCGGTGTGACCAAAAACAAAGACTGACATCATACAGTGCTCCATTAGGACCAAATTGACCTGGATAAGCTTGAGCTGGCTGGTACAAGGGATGAAGGAAGAATGTTGGTCGTTCACATTCAAGCAGTAACACTTAATCTTTGAGAGGATGTCAACTAGCGGTTATCGTCAGGTGAAGCTAGATGAGTTTGAAAAAGAATTCCACCAACTGATTGGTAAATATCAAGAATAGACCTTGTTTCTTCACTTATCTCGAGCTAATTCTCTGAACCTCCGTTTACGTTCACAGAGCTCTCGAGTCAAGATTTGGGTTCTTCAATCGTCGCAGTTTCCGACGAATGGTTTGCACCTGCCAAGTCACTTATCAATCCTAAAGTAAAGCTCTCTCAAAGTGTTACTGCTTGAATGTGAACGACCAACATTCTTCCTTCATCCCTTGTACCAGCCAGCTCAAGCTTATCCAGGTCAATTTGGTCCTAATGGAGCACTGTATGATGTCAGTCTTTGTTTTTGGTCACACCGACTGGGTTCCCATTATAAAGCCTGAAGTGACACTGTGTTGCGTTGCATCTTTGTTCAGGGATGGGAATCACGTCGCCACAATCCTACATATGATTGGTTAGTCACAAATCAACCTCACTTCTACTTGGATCATGATCTGGAATATTCATAACGTTACGGTAGATTACGTTGAGGCCCTAACGTTGCGCCCAATGCCATATCTGTTTTGGTGGATGTTGCCCATTGACAACTTGTTTGCGCGAGAAGATATCGTTGGCTAAATACGCTGTTTTCAGACCTTTCATCACATTTCATGACCTCTCTGGGAATCCTCTTTTCTCGACACTGTCATTGAGAACTGCATCTGCTGGAATGCCCCATCCTGCCTCCCAATGTTTTCAGTGCAGGGAGCACTCCTGGTGGAGATCTATGTACATATGCATATAAAGGGGCACATGCACGACAAACGTAGCAGGAAGGAGGGGAAAGGGCAAAATACCCAAAGGATGAGGATGGTCTCAAGCCAGGTCGGTAGGATCTCACTCGGTCGGCCGTAACTTTTAAATGATCTGAAGTGAGGAGTCCTTTTCCAGCAAAGATACCTCCACACGATCGCATCCATGACCTGTTTCTACGGGTCAGTAGCCCACCGGTGAGTAGCCTCCTATGAACCTTGGTATGTAGTCTATCTTGCGGAGACGCTGGTATCTTCAACTGACTGGATCGTGCCCTAGAGCACGTCTGATATTGTCCAACAGGGGGTCTTGTGGAGCAGGGCCACGTCCTGATAGGATCAAACACACTTTCGCTGGCTGTTCTCCGCAAGTGCTCGATGTCTTTCATCCCCGCCAGATGTGCGGCATGAGGTTCGAGTGAATACACGCAGTGGAGGAGCAAATCTATGGGGAATGGGACGATGAAAGGATAGATCAATCAGCATACACAGTGTGATAAGCTGCGGTGTTCGACACTTGTCACAGTAAACTGAATGTGAGTATGTATATACTAAATTATAGTAGTTATAGTATGCTGATGAATTGACGCACCACCCGCTCGCAAAGGCACTATTGAATGATGATGGAAGCAATCACGGCCGAGGGCGGTTGAGACTCTACAATGTACACTTTCGCTTTGTGCATATAGACGTGGCAGGTGGGCGGGTGCGCGAAGTTCCAACTCGACATTTGTTCCTTATATTTAAAATAGTCTTCCCCTTGTCGTCGTTCTCGGCTCCACTGCCCCGAAAGACAAAGATCTCTACCAGCTTCCGTAATGTCCCACTGGATTCCTGCGAACTCGATACTTCCATACATACAAACACTCGGCTTGCTAGTGACTTTATGCGTGATAATCCGAAAGCTGCGTGCCCAGCCCAGTCCTTGGGCTGCGCTCCCGAGGATACCCATCTTGGGAACTCTACCATATGTAACTGGCCCTAACTTCCCTTTGCAATGTTCAGGATGGCGCAGGAAATACGGGTGATTACTGTCAAATATCTTATCGCACAGAATTTTCACTGATTTGCTTTTCAACGGCTAACGATGCCTTTGTCTTCTCAGGCAGATATATAGTTATAAGCCCGGTTTAGCACAAGAGATACTGGTAGTGTGTGGAGCGAGACTCGCAAGGGAATTATTCATCACGAACAGCCAGTCTTTTCAACATCGACATTGTCCCTTTTTCTACGCGCGCGAATTGAAACTAGAAGACCATTTCGTAAGTACTTTCAGGCGCCAAATTTAGTGCGTTCAATTCTAATGGACAATGAGCGATCCGACTTTAGACTCCGCTACTTGACTCGTCGCCTGCCATCCAAACTCAGCGTCGTCTGATCTACCAAGCCATAAAAGCTAGCATCACGCGCGGCAAGGGTGCAGCGGTACATAGAGCATCTCTGGGTCTATTACAAACTCTACGATCTCATGCCAATGACCGAAGGAGTCCAGTTTTAGATCTTCAACAAGTCATTGCCGATGCGGTCGGTCTCTCGGCGCTCAGTCTGAGTTATGGTTTCGATTGGACGATCAAGGACTTGCGAGCTTGTAGAGAGGCGGCCGTCTTGTTCGCAGAAGTACCCAAATACTTTGCATTCTTCAACGTCAGTAGAATTCTTAGCGTCTAATGGTTTTTGTGCTTTTCAAAGCTGGACGACATGTTCTAACTGACTCGATTGAACAGTGGATCAACGAGCCCTCTGTTGCATTCCCTTTCCTCACTCGTCTGCTGGGCACGCGGACCCAGAGAATAAGGGAATCGGCCACACAGGCTGCCCAAAACCTATTAGAAAGCTACCAGGGGCTTTTTGCGTTAACCATGGAGAAAGTTCGTAACGAAGGAGTGGGCTCTTTGGATGACTCGGTGGCCCGAATTTTATTATCAGACGATGATGAAGACATTCCGGTCTACAGGCAAAGTAGTACGCCGAGCGAATTAAACGTCGCCAAGAAAGGTGACAAGGAATCTGACGATAAAATCACTTTCTTTCCATCTTGTTTCTCAATGATGCAGTCCTCGTTAGTGAGCTTAAATCATATATCTCAAAGTTACAGCTTCTGACGATGACGTGCGTATCGTAGTGTGGAAGCGCAGCGACCGCGGCATTCTCCACCACGGCCGGTACGGTGCATTTGCTGGTCGGTTGTCTGGCCGCTTATCCAGAGTGGCAAACCAAACTACAGAGTGAAGTTGATCGCCTTGCCAAAACACAAGACCCACTCAACTCAAGTAATGGACTTCCGGGCTTCGTGTCTGACAAAGACCACGAAGATGCTTGTCTCACATGGGCCTTTATTGATGAAGCTTTGAGATACTATCCCATTTTTCCTATAAGTAAGAAATTCTCTCACGATATTCATCCGATCTTGACTCTCACCGAGCTCTCTCCCTCAGATACGCGCGTTGCAAATCAGGATTATACTTTGCACGATGGTCGAACTATTAAGACGGGCCAAATTTTGTTCACTGTCCCTGCAGCCATCAACCGAGATCCTGAACTGTACGAGGACCCAGACACATTTGACCCCACCCGTTTCCTGAATAATGACACAGGCTCGGCGAAGTTGGAGAAAGGGATGAAACTGAACTGGCCTAAATATAGGCATGTATCATTCGGAAGCGGCCGGTCAGCGAACTCACACGTCTCTGACTTTCGTCCATATCAACTGACTTCAGATCATTTGCCATCCGTCCCAACAATTCCTCCAGGCGAAGTTGTCCGGGATCCGAACTGGCAGAATACAGTGTATTTGTCCTGCTCACACAACTGGTTCACTGCTTTGAAGTGAAATATGAGGATGACGCATCACATGCTATTGGAATCCGACCAGAACTCGTCGGATTAGAAAACCATTTTTCAATTCCCAAAATAAAATTCATTCCAAGAAGAGATCTTTCTCATCTCTGAGTTTTTCTTTTACAAATCTCTGAATACACGTCGTCTCAAAAACTGTAAACATCTTATTATCATACACGACTCGCTAGTTTGAACAGAGAATCTTGGATGTGACAATGCCTGTGGTTCCTTGGCTGTTCTCGTTGGCCCTCTTGAGGTCCATATGTAAGATACTGTACAGGCTAGTCCTATAACTTGGCTATAGCAAGTTTGATCAACTAGAATCAACTGCTCAGTAAAAACCAAATAAACCAAGTCCCACTATTTTGAGCTATACCAGCCCGCTCAAACAAGGAATTTACGCACAAGTGGAAAATTTGGCCTGGGAATTGCCAGATTGTATGCTCATCATAACAGTTTGTTTGACAATTTCTCCTTGTCCTGGCCACAAGATGACAAATGCATTTCTTGATCTCCTCTACAACCTCCCAATCTCTGTTCCTCAATAGCTTGGGTGGTTGGAGACAGACCCATAAACTTCTTCAGGGGGTCAAAAATTATGGCTTTCTGTGTGTCTCAAATTTCAATTTTGGTGTACATTCAAAACTGCAAGTTTTCTCTCTATGTCCAACAAAAAAGACAGATATTGCAATACTGAGATTTGGAGGTTGTAGAGCAGTTCACAGCACAAATTTTCTGATTTTGGGGCCTGGCAAATTCACATAAGTGAAAAACCTTTTTTGAAGAAACAGTCTTTTGGCAAACATCCCTGGCAAAGGGTGGCTCAATTGCACTGAGGCAGCACAATTGAACTTTGGTAGCCATTTTGGAGGCTCCCTGCACCACCAACATATTTACATTGGATTGGGAAATCCAAGGTATTCTCAGATTCCAAAGCTTGGACAGAATCTTTCCAAGGTTTGGATCCCAGAGCAGAAGAATACCTTGGATGGAAGCCTTGGAAAGGGTCTACTCAAGTACTTCCCTCCAATCAAGGCTGTCACCTATACCAGTATATTATACTATAGATATGATATATTTCAACTATCCTACACTGAGGACTATAATAGTATAGCCGGACCTGTACTATACTGACAAATATACCCAGTATGTTTGGATTTAGCAAATATCACAATATACCATATTTCAATGGTACCAAGTGTATCTATAGTATATTTGGAACTAAACCATCCAAGTATAGTTCAAATCCAGTATAGTATAGTAAAGTATAGTGGCATCATTGGAGTCCAATGATGCCTTGGACTTTGCAACCCAAGGCATCTAGGTGGTGCTGGTAGCAAGGCTATAGTTACAGGACTGTAACCCAGCACCTGGCAGTAGAGCATAGTAGCAACTCCACATATTGCTTCCTGCCGCTCTTCTTGTTGTACCAGCCCAAGAAGAGGTAGAAGATACTCAAAAAGCCCCCCTTGGAGATGTGTATTCTCCCCTAGCCCTCTTTGACCTTCACAAAGATCTCCTGAGCACTCAAACTATCGTTCTCAAATCCCAGATCACTATAGACTTTGCTCAAGAAGTACTGAAGCTTGCAGAATCAGATACAAGAGCCCACAATTTCATAGCAATACACACCACTATAGTCCTCCTCACGGAACTTTCACTCAGGGCCTGTTCACTTGAGCAATTTCTGGTGAGAAATCACATTCTGTAAAATTTAAAGTGTCCATTTGGTGGAGCATATTTCATTTTTGCATTAAAAAAATTACAGAATGTGATTTCTGGTCAGAAATTTGTTAAGTGAACATGCCCCCAGTCTTCATCACACTGTAGAGCTAGATTTGATGATTCCCCTGAAAGGCGTCCCTCTTTACTTGATCATATTGATTCATCTCATGTCAACCATTATAACCAAGAAGATTTGGGCAGACAAGATAAGGGGAAAAATGTTACATCTTGCCCTCTTCCAAACCAGAGTCATCATCTATTGTAATTGAATCAGCCTTTGCAGAAAAGACTTGCTTCCCAATCAGACAGCAACCCTGAACAAGACCAAATTCTCCCGACTGTGGCTAGAGAGATCAAAAGAATCAAAAATGAATACAAAGAAGATATCAAATGCTCAGTTGACCTCTTTGACAGCTGCGCTAGCAAACGTGGCTTGCAGCGGAGAGGGCAGTGGCCGGGGAGCTGGGCTATCCGCTGACAAGTTCAGCCCCACGCTGCCCTAGAGCCAGTGCTCAGGCCTTGCCCTTTACCCTTTACCCCACCAACCACCAATCCCAGCCACCATCCAGCTATTAAAATCACACCTTTTCTTTCAATCTCATATTGTTGGTATCATTCAACTAACACTTCTTGTTTCAGATGTTTATTTGTGGCATGGATTTTTCATGCCACAGGATCTCAAGCCTCAACAATGAGTGGCTTCAATTTCAATTCTCGCAACTGTGGATAGACCAACTGCTCCATCTTATAAAGGTAATAAAGGGAACATTTCATTTCATCATATTATCTCATTTACTCTGACGTTATAGTTGCTGACTGATCTTATCTTCAACTCTATCTTTCTAACTCAATACTCAATTGATTGTATTGACCTACCCACATGTTACCCTTACCCTATTCAAAGTCAAGAAAACTTTTACTAATTCATCATCATCTTTCTGAATCAAATCATGTCCAAGTCAAGCAACCTACTCTTTTCTTTGTTTTGTGTCGTCGGGCTATAAGACCAACAATGGACCTCTATCTCATCCTCGACGCTCTTCTTGTGTAGTCATGCCAGCCTGACAAGCTCCGGGGATGATTGTTCCTGTGTCTGACTCTCGCTGTGGCCTCATTGACTTAGGTCTAGGTAGAGATGTAAGAGATGAGCATATTCATTGGTGTCAAGAGCGTTATGCCTCTCTACCTAGAGGTCTTGATCTTGGCGAACCAGCTCAAGCCTTGGTTTCATTGTTCCAGGTAAGTACTGTTCTTCAACTGTCTTTGTACTGTTTTTATTTGTTCTTTTTGTTAACTTGATTCACTTCACTAACTAACTCTATCACTCTGTTATTGTTCAGCATGCTTTGAACCAACACCAAGAACAATCTGTCTTGGTATCAGATGTTGGGTTAGCCAATTTGGCAAATCATCACCACCAATCAACAAGTCAGAAGAGCCATAATTTGGTTGAATTTGGGCCCAAGGTATAACCAGATCTTTGTTTTCATCATTTTATTGCATCTCCCAGAAAATCATGATCACTGATTGTTTTCACTTTGGTTTTCCTTTGATGAAACCCTCTAGGAACCAACTCCACCCACAGTGGACTTAGCACAAGATTCCAACAACAAGAACAAACAAATTAGAAAACAAAAGCGTAATCAGCCCACTGAGCTTGAATTCAACTCTCTTTATATGTTTTTTGGCAGGCCTGAACATGGAAGCAACACACCTGGGAGGTATGGTGCAGGCTTTATTTGCTGGAAACAGGTGATTGCTGCCGGTGCAAAACTCCCTCCATCAGTCTCGGAACTCAGAGCTCAGCAACTCCAGCAAAATCAAAAAAGATCACATGCAGCTTTTATAACTCCAGCAATACCCGAACCGCATCGCCATATATAGCGGTTGCGGAGCGATGTTGCAGCGGTTTTTGCGTGCGCCATGGACTCCGAAATACATAGCGGAGCCTGCGCACCGCACTCCATGGCCGGGTTTTCTCATAGCGGTGCAATCGCTGCGCAACCCGGCCCAGGAGGTGTTATTCCGCTATATAGTGGAGCAAACCAAAATGGGTATATAAGCCTTAAGGTGTATGTATATGATTCAAATTTCCGCCACTTCAACAACCAGCTTCAACTTTCAACCAATCTCAGTCAAATTTATGAAGCATCTCGAATCATCATCGTCATCATCCTTTATCAAAAGACAAATGTAATATGTTTCATGGTAGGATTTGGAATCATTCAATCAGATCTCTTTGAACTGAACCAATTGCAATTTCAAAACAAATGTTACATTGAAAACCAACTAAACTCAATCAATTTTGATCAATCC